CTTTGAAATTGGATTAATCTTGTATTAACTTCCACTGAAAGTTAAGTATGTTTTTGGCTTCTCCTGTAATGATAGTTTTGGAGGTACTATGTTTTTCTGGTGGTAGTGAGGATATAATAATTGACTAATTATTAAGAAACTTTGGAGAACCTCTTTTTTTAGACTGAATACTGTATCAGTAGATATTTCTACCAAGTTCTACACCCTGCCCTCCTTATTATAGGGAGGAACACCAGCTTTTACTGAAGAAATGAGTCATTTCAGGAGGGCTCGACTCTTACATGATCGTAACCAAACCATGAAACTGTGTAAATCTGAGCACTTGGATTCAAATATCATTTGGTTGTAATGGTTTCAGTGAAATGTGTTCTCTCACTCAGAGCACAAGCTTGTCGCTTGCTGAGATCTGTCCATCAGGGAACACGCGATTTCAGGCTTTTGCGTCATGGTATCGTTATTCCTCATTATCTGACGAGTGAGAGGTCTTGCAAATTGGATATACAGTCGGATCTGCTGTTATCAATCTGCTATTTAAAAAAAAAATCACACTTATTTGTGTAAAATAGCTTCTTATCAGGGTTTCAGGGCAAAAGGGGCCTTTCAGTACAGTCCTTGACATTGTTTGTGCCCCACCTGAGAGCCGTGAAGGATGGAGGTGATGTGGTTCAGCAGTTTGCAGGGTCAGAGCTGTGCCATCCTTCCAAAAGGTGAAATACTCAAGCCTGATTATTGCGACTCCAGGCAGAGAAAGAGAAGAGACTATTCATCTGAATGAAGTGCTCCGTCTGCTACATTCTCTTCCTGAAGCCCTATTTGGATGGGGTTATTTCTCCATGGGGAGGTGGGTGATGCCATTTTACCACCGGACGTTGTAGTGTTTATGGCCGATTCACACGGGATAAGAAATCTCGGCCTAAATGACAGAGATGGAGCGGCTACTAAAATTACGCATCGCCTTCAGTCCAGGAAAGAGTAGAAAACGTTAAAACATTTAATTAAGCTGCTATTTCGTTTACGCTAATCACCTGTCTATTCTATTGTTATTTTCAAATTTAGTAACATCTTTCATCCTTGGGATCAATTTGACCCCAGCAGTGCAAACCTAAGGGAAATATCAGAGTGATTCTTGTACTACAGCAGGTGTGTTACAGGTGTGGTTATGTTAGGTTATTAGGTTAGGTGTGTTACAGGTGTGGTTATGTTAGGTTAGGTGTGTTACAGGTGTGGATATGTTAGGTTAGGAGTGTTACAGGTGTGGTTATGTTAGGGTAGGTGTGTTACAGGTGTAGTTATGTAAGGTTAGGTGTGTTACAGGTGTGGTTATGTTAGGTTAGGTGTGTTACAGGTGTGGTTATGTTAGGTTAGGTGTGTTACAGGTGTAGTTATGTAAGGTTAGGTGTGTTACAGGTGTGGTTATGTTAGGTTAGGTGTGTTACAGGTGTGGTTATGTTAGGGTAGGTGTGTTACAGGTGTGGTTATGTTAGGGTGGGTGTGTTACAGGTGTAGTTATTTTAGGTTAGGTGTGTTACAGGTGTGGTTATGTTAGGGTAGGTGTGTTACAGGTGTGGTTATGTTAGGGTGGGTGTGTTACAGGTGTAGTTATTTTAGGTTAGGAGTGTTACAGGTGTGGTTATGTTAGGTCAGGTGTGTTACAGGTGTAGTTAGGTTAGGAGTGTTACAGGTGTAGTTATGTTAGGTTAGGAGTGTTACAGGTGTGGTTATGTTAGATTAGATGTGTTACAGGTGTGGTTATGTTAGGTTAGGTGTGTTACAGGTGTGGTTATGTTAGGTTAGGTGTGTTACAGGTGTGGTTATGTTAGGTTAGGTGTGTTACAGGTGTGGTTATGTTAGGTGGGTGTGTTACAGAAAGTCCTTTTCCACAGAGTGTAAGAGCTTTTTTACTGAAATGGTGATTCGCATTAAGTTAGTATAACATGGTGTTATTTCTGCTGCTTCAGACGGGACTAACATCACCGAGAAACCCCAGTACCCAACTCCTCATCTAAAACGAATCCCATCCGAATAGAGCTTTAGTCAGCCATTATTACAGGACGAGAGCTGAGGTGGTGCTTCCTCAAAACACACGAGGACACTTGAGGCTTAAGAAGATGCGACCTGGAACATGATGCTGTTGTAAGTGCAGCACAGCGCAGATAACCACAAGTAGTGCACTCAGAGATTGTGCTTAAAGGTTATTTTAAGATATACGCCTGCAGTTTTCATCTCTTCTTACCCAAAAAAGACAGATAAAGAGAGTCAACAAAGCCTGTGACCTTTTCATGAGGTGAGGGATGAGGCTTATTTTAAAGTAATGCAGTTTTGTCCTCTACCCAAAAATAGTTTTAGGAGTGGAGTTGTAGCTAGTCCAGCTTCTTGACTCCCACCAGCCAAGTACCCATTCCTCTTCTCCAGCACTAAAGGGAAAAACAGTTACCTTGCTTTTTTTTAAATAGACATTTGGGTGCTATGGAAACAAAAGTTTCTGAACTTGGTCATCTTTCCCCAATTTATTTGAGAAAGCAAAGCTGAAAGATTGTCCAATTTTGAATTCTTCATGGTTTTGACATTTGTATGGTTGCCCCTTCAGCCAGCCTACAGCTTGCTTGTTCACACTGAAGTGATAAGGAGTGCTGTTACTGCAGATATGGGGAAAACAATGCATTTGATTTTAGAAGAAACGGTGGATCAGCAGGCGTCTACAAACTTTTGGGCACAGGTTATAGTCTTAAGCAAAATAGCAAAAGCAGCCTGTTTATTTTAAGCTATGAGAGAAGCATTTATGAGAGGATGTGCCATGTGCCCGGCAGGAAGGCAGGGCCCGAACCTCAGAGGCCTGGATTGAACGTGAGGTGTAGTCCAGCGGCATCACTGCAGAACAGGAGGCGTTGCACATGTGGCAGGACTGGGGACTCGCATGCCATCCACGACCCTCTCGCACTTCTCTCTATCTCTCTCCCCTGTCCTCGTTGGGTTTCGTCCTTGTTCAGGGTTTGGGCCGTGCCTTCCTGCCGGCTCTCGTGGACATCATCAGGGCATGGGTGACGGACGCATGGCACGGAGGACTTCAGGGAACCACTTTTGCCCAGGTTTCCCTTAATTGCCACCTGCTAGCTAGGTCTCACCATCACACAGTGCTGCCAAGCTGCTGCATCTCTTTCTGCTAATGCACTTGCGTTGGACAGCTCAGCACGCTTGGAGGAGAGCACTAACAGGATAACTGTTAAGTCAGGTTGTGCTGGGATCAGACTACGCATCCAGCCTGACTGTGACATGATTTTGTCACAGATTTCCAGCGTCAGAACCAATTATAAGCGTCATGAACGATGACCGGGTCTTGTAGTGTGACATAATCAAAGAACAGCGATGTGGCGTCTGGGACGCCCCACGACACCCTGACGAAAATTCTAGCAAAATTCAAAATTGTTCTGCATTTTCCTGTCTGGTTTTGACCTCTCCTACAACGCGTTCCTTGACGTTAACCAGTAGGACAGCCAGGCGCTGAAAGATAGGAATAAGGGACGCTGCTGCTACAGCTTTAAGGTGGAACAGTGAAACAGAAGAAAGGTTCTCTGAGCTGTGGCAGCAGAACCCTGGCCTTTCTGATGTTTCCTCAAGGGATCCATGACAGAGTGAAAAAAGATAAATGTTGGTGAGAACGTTTACTGCATCTGTGTACGTACAGCTAATCTGGTAGCTACGTTTATAGGATGTTCCTGATATGTTAACACACTCGTTACCTGAAGTTCTGTTTGAAGGACAGGCAGCCCACACTGTCCCTTTTATGACCCCAGGATCGGCTCCACGATCGCCTTTTCTTTCTTTTCTTTCTCTTTTCAAAACACAGACCTGCCAGCATCACGCACAGCACTTCTGATTGACAGTTTCTTGTCCTGATGACCTCTCAACTCGCACAAGAACATGAACCATAATTGGTCGACAGCAAACTAGTGGTGTTGCCAGTGTCCTGACTGTCACTGTGGTTGCCTAATCTGACATGGTGACCATCGTGAAAAGGCAAAAATATAGCGTAGTCCGATCCTAGCATAACATTGGCTTGCATTGGGCCGAGTGCGGCGAGGGAGGGCCAGTCTGGTCACCCAGAGACTTTATTGGACTGTCAGCTATGGATGGCTGTGGCATCGCTGGCATTGAACTCGCACTCTTCAAACTAGAGTGGACACTTAGGCGATTGCGCCACTCAGGAACCCTGAATATAAAACATAGTTTAGCCAAACAGCGTAATGAGAATAATAAGTAATTTGGCTGAGATGCCAAGTTGCCTTTATGTGTAGGTTAAATGCTAATGTTAGTGGGAAGAGCAGCTTGTCTGACTTGGACCCGAGTTACCAGAATAAAATAAATGCCATGTGGCGGCATCACAACATCTTCCATTTCTGAAGATGAATATTTTATAACACTGTCAGCATCAAATCTCAGCCCTGCAAAAATCCTGTAGCTCTGTTTTTTGGTTGGAATCTCGTTGAATTAATTGGCATCTTCTTAAATTGTTTACAAATTGGCTTGTATTTGTTAGGATGTTCTAGTCAAATCTAATCAAACGGCTGCAGCTTTCTAGTTTCTAAGCTTATTAGAAGATATATATTCAATTCCCAGACCTTCCTGAATGGGTGACGTAATAACTTACCAACGAAGCAGCCAAAGCCTTTATTAATAAAGAAATATACATATATATTAATATGGAATTAGTATGGAAATCCTGGGATTCAGCTAGGCAGATTAAAGATGCCTTTACATGAATTCCGCTGTTTGTGCCAGGCTTATTTTCCTGTATTCAAGCTCCTGTGTGGACCTTCCAGTAAACAAAGGAATCAATACTGCAGAGGAGTCAGATTAACCCGAAACCCCTTCATACGTTTTGATCAATAGTTCTGTGGTTTCGTTGTAGCTGTCCAAGCTTTATGACTGAGCTGTTATGACTCACTTCAGTGAAGTAAATGCATATGCAGTGAGTAACTCTTTCATCTTTTTTTTTTTTACAGCTCTTTATTCGATCATCCTCTTCTGCGTCTTCTTCTGGATTCCGTTTGTTTACTTCTACTATGAAGAGAAGGACGAGGATAACGTCAGCAAATGCTTGGTAAGATTGTAAAACAGCTAAACGTTAAGCAGAGCCTCAGCAGTTGAGTGGTGCTAGCACTAGCTCGTTCACATTGAAGTGATGAGGAGTGTTGTTACTGCTGACGAGAGTTAGCAGAGTGAAGAGTTGAAGATGTGGGGAAAACAACAATACCTTTCATTTTACAAGAAACATTGGATGAACAGGTGTCTACAAACTTTTGGACAGTTTATCAGTCTTACCATACGATTAATCATGATCGTCTACACAAAATTGTGCGAATAATCACAATTAATGCGATTAATCGTGATTGGTTATTTTAATCGTGATTAATTGTTTTCGAAAAGGCGAACAATCCTGAAGTTCAGCAAATGAGACAAATGCGATTAATCACGATTACCTACTCAAATTTAAGCAAATAAAACAAATGCAATCAATTGCAAATAAACACCCAAAATAATGTGATTAATCACAACTAATTATTTTAAATGTTTAGAAGCATACTTAGAAGTTGCTGAATAAAATTTTAATACATTCTGAGGAAGGTTACTTTGTCCATAAATATAGCTATAACAAAAAGCACAGCTTTCTAAAAGGGAAAAAATCTGAGAAATGCAATTAGATTAATCATCTACACCAAATTATGCCATTAAACACACTTATCTACTTAAAGTAATGCAATTAATCACAATTAGTTAAGTTTTGATGGATTGCTTTTTAAAAGGGAAAAAATCTTGAAGTTGCGCAGTAAGACAAATACGATTAATCACGATTATCTACACAAAATAGTGAGTGATCAAAATTATCTACTTACTGCGATTAATCACAATCAATTTTAATCATGATTGTTTTTGAAAGGAAAAAAAGGAAAAAATTCTGAAGTTAAGCAAATGAGACAAAACGATTATTAGCAATTATCTACTCAAAATAATGATTAATCATGATCAGTTATTTTAATTGTGATTAATTGCTTTCTAATAGGACAAAAATAGTGAAGTTGCGCAAACACGATTAATCACGATTATCTACACAAAACTGTGCGAATAATCAAAGTTATCTACTTAAAATAATGCAATGAATCATAAACATAAAGTCAATTGTGATTTAATTGCTAATTTAATTCTAAAAGGGTAAAAACTACTGAAGTTGAGCAAGTGAGACAATTGTGATTAATCGCAATTATGTGCTCAAAATAATTATATTCATTGTTTTGTAACCGTTGTATTTATGACTTCCTGGCATTGATTTTCCACTTTTTCCGATTTTGACAAGCTGGTCACACAGTTTCCACTAGAAAATGCAGAGGCCTTCACCCCACCGCACCAGCGTAAATGCAGCGTAACCCTGCCCTCTGTGCCGTTTCCTGGAGGGAATGCCGTCCTATAGAGAAACCCCACATACAGAAAGACCATCGTCAGTGTAAACGCAGCGCAAACAGGAGCCTGTAGCGAAATGCAATCACAGAACCGGCCTCGCTTGCATTTAAAGCAGAACAGAGAGTTTGTGTAGGGAAGTCTAATTTCAGCAGTGGGCCGCTGGAGATAAGCGTAAGTAAGTAAAGATTACCTGATTACAGATATGACAGTTCTCCGATATTAGCCCAGCAAATCGAGGCAGGCTGCCTCAGCAGAAAGTTGGACCGCGGCGAGGTGGCGGAGCATATGAAAAACACTTTTTCTTCTCCGGCAGCGTGCGCTCGCAGAAATTTCAAATATTTGTCTCCAAGGACACTACAGTGATGTGGAGATTACATGCTGAGGAGCCTGCGCCTCCTCTGCAGTGTTGATTTAGAGTTGACAGGGTCTCTCTCTCTCGCTCCCTCTCTCACTCTACCACTCATCCTCCCTCCCTTCGGTGTCTTACACATCATACTAGTGAGACTTAGTGAGTCCTGGTCATAAAAAGCTGGCAAATCTGATTGCGTATTTACTGAAAGTGAGCAAAAAATCGGTGGTGAAATATCGCGTCGCTCTGTTGTTCTGATTTTGCTGCATATCTATCAGCGCCGGCTGGTGAAATCAATACGACCTAGTAGCCTCAGTTTGATGCTTATTTTTATGTGTAATTCGACTGCTGACCACCAGCGAAAACAAGTAATTTCTTCTAAATATGTCAGCAATTTTCACAATCATCAAAGCAGACGTTGCGCAAGCTCCATATTGATCTCCTGCTCCATGCCTAATAGACCTTTTATATTTGGGTGGCTTGCGCAGATACTAACAGATGATTTGTTGTAAATGCTGTGTATACCTTTCAAATCCGGGCCTAATTCTTGTTTTTAGGGCTAAATATTACTGTGCGAGAACATGACGTGGCTGAGAGAGGATTTGGGATGGTAGTCCATCATTACCTGACTGAAATTAAGAAATGAACAACAACCCCATTTCCAGAAAAGTTAGACGCTGCACAGAATGTAAATAAACATAAAATGCAATGATGAGCAGATCATTTAAGCCCTGTGTTTCATTGAAAATAGTACAAAGACAACAAATCAAATATTGAAATTGAGAAATTTTGTTGTTTTTTGAAAAATATATGCACATTTTGAATTTGATGAAACAGACAACAGAACACTTTTCCACTTCCACTCAGTCCATTTTAAATTAGCTCAGGCCCAGAGAAGGCGGCGGCGTTTCTGGGTCCTGTTTATATTTGGTTTCTTCTTTGTGTTTTAGAGTTTTAACTTGCATTTGTGGATGCAGTGATGAACTGTTTTCACAGACAGTGTTTTTCAGAAGTGTTTCTGAGCCCATGCAGTGATTTCCACTACAGGATCATGTCTGTTTTTAATGCAGTGCTGCCTGAAGACCCAAAGATCACGGCCAGCAAATACTGGTTTTTGGCCTCGTCCCTTACACACAGAGATTTCTCCAGATTCAGAGTCTTTTAATGATATTCTGTACCGTAAATGATGAAAAGCAGAAGTTCTTTGCTATTTTATGTTGAGGAACGTTATTCTTGAATTGTTGCACTATTTGATGGTGCAGTCTTTCACAGAGTGGTGAACCCCTCCTCATCTCTACTTCTGAAAGACTCCGCCTCTCTGAGATGCTCTTTATACATTTTTTATATATCATGTTACTGACCTGTTGCCAATTAACCACCATTACACAACTTTACCAGCCTTTTATTGCCCCTGTCCCAACTTTTTTGGAATCTGTTATTGTCGTTCTCTGTTTCAACATTTGATTTGTTGTCTTTGTACTATTTTCAATTAAATATAGGCTTTAAATGATTTGCGCATCATTGCATTTTGTTTTTGTTTACATTTTGCCCACCGTCCCAACTTTTTTGGAAATGGGGTTGTACAATAATATAAAATATTCCTTTTTTTATTTTTAAAAAGCTTAGAATCAATAAATTCAAATAGGAGCTGAGATTTGTGATTATTTCTGTTTTTAGCTTCTTTTTAGGTTCATTATTTTCACTATTATTAAATAAGAGCATCTTAATTTCTGTCTAATTAAAAGGTTAAGCTGTAAAGGCCATTCAGTGTGGTTTGATGTAAAGTATGCCACTTTCTGAATCACACTTGTTTGCAGCAGTGGTGATGGGAACCAGATGTCTGAAGCATTTAATGCCTCTAAGAGCTGCAGTTCTGTGCAAAAGTTCACCTGTCATTTATTTAATTTCCTGTCAAAATGGCCAAGTTATTCTATATTCAGTGCCTGAAAAAAGCAGAAAGCACAAAATGGGGTCCAAAAGTCTGAGGTCACTTTTATTTTGCATCCCTTTTCTTATTTAATATAAATTTTTCTGCATAACAAAAGTACAATCTGTGAAATTTGAATATGAGTTTCAGAATTTCTTAGTATTTGGTGGTGTTTCCTTCTTCTGCGTTAATGACGGTGTGCACTCGAGCTGCACAGACTCCACAAAAGACTCTGATCAGCAGATCAAATCCACTTGAGAGTCGTCTGAACTCGAGCTTCACTGGAAGAGATCAGACTAAAAGAATAAACGACATTTTCGTACAAAGACCTGAACATGGTCAGTCCCACAAATTGGATTTATTTTGAAATAGTGAAGAAACTTTGTTTTAATTTAGAAAAAGTCCTAAAACTTTCCCAATTTAAATAAAAAAAACTTTACCCCACTGTACTTTTAAAAGTTCCACAGAAGCCTCAGCAGCTCTACTATCAGCTGTGTGAGTCAGTGAGTCACTCTTCACCTTTATTCCAGCTTCCATTCTTTTCAGGAGCCTCACTTTCAGTTCCCCAAAGAATCTGCAGACACACCTCCAAAGTTCAGTCTTAGAAGTTGGTTGATCATCTTCTGACTGATGTTCAGTATGACATATGAGCACTAAAAAGGTCATTTTAGATAGTAAATACAATATTTGCATTGTAGACTTTGTGACGTCTGGTTCCTATCACTGCCACTGTAAACCAGAGTCTGTTTCTCTACAGTCAAATCATTCTAAATGACTTTGTTTACATCTCAACGATTAAATTCTGGGGATTTGTTTTTCTAAAAATCCCCTTTCATTGTTTTTTGTATGCTGTGATAGATAGTCATCACAGCAAAACTGGAAAACATTGTTGGAACAAAACCTCGTATCTCCATTTTTGTTATTTTTCAGTTTTTGACATAATTTGAAAATGCCTGTTGGTCTTTATATTGTGTGAAAATTTCATGGTGAATAGAACAAAATAAACAGCCCAAAATGACTTGGGAGAAAGTCTGGTTCCATTAACTTACATTAAAAGTAAAGTAGGTTTTTTCCTTCTCCTGTAAAGTTACCATTTTGGAGATGTGAGGTTTTGTTCCAACAGCAGCGATATATAGCTAGTGGTACATAAATATATGCTGCATATATAATGACAAGCTTATACACAAGCCGGGGTTACACTACACAGCATTTACCCCGGTTTTAGTCCCGATTCTCAGTGAGTCTGAGTCTGTGTTGGTCGGCTCTAGTCTGCAGATGTTTGGGTCAGTTGGAGTCAACAGTTGGAGAGAGAGTGGAGTCGTTTGTGAGGGGCACAGACTCAAATTTACTGCCTCCCTATCACGTTTCAGACCAGTCAGAGTTGATCAAACATGTTTGATTTTTTAACCCGACTCTGAGTGAAATCTAGAGTAAACTGGTCAACGACTCAATCTGAAAGGATTCCTGAAAACGGCCAATGAAAACTGAGAGAGCATGAAAGAAGAAAATACAGCAAGTAAACAAAGAGAAATGGTGGAAAGTCTCACATGTGGAGCGAAGCTTTTTAATGAGCTGAGTTTAAGGCACAACCAAGTTTCTGTGCATTTATGTACATTTAAAACTCTAAAAACACCAAACTGCTCACTTTTTTAAATTATGTTCCTCACTTAAACATGTTTACCTGCTGCTTCTTTACTGTTTCAGCGCAAACGGCAGAGAAACCAGCAGCAGCAGCTCACGTTAGAAACGTGAGAATGCAAGAGTTCAGTGAGTTCAGTGAGCTCCGTTCGGTTCACCAACAGCTGAAAAGTTGAGTTGTGTGTGATCCCTAATCGTTTACTGTGGATCCCCAGTATTTCAGTCGCCCAAAAAAATCCAGTCCAGTCTGACAGTGTGAGACGCCCAGTCTTTATAATCTGGTAAGACCTTAAAAGTCGTGTAGTGAACCCCAGGCTTTAGTTCTTTGTTTTTGGAAAGCTGGAGATTGCACCACTTCACAAGGCTAAAGCAGCTCCTCAGACTTTGTCCTGCCGTTATATCCTCTCTAATTACACTGACCGTGTGGAATCAGATGTCATCACTGCGTAAACTGATGTGTGTTCATTTCTTCTCTTCTTCCAGCAAGCCAAAAACGCGCTGAGGTACACGGTTGGGTTTGTCGTCGTGTGCGCTGCACTTCTCTTAATTGGGTAAGTACACGACTCCCAGCCTTTACGCCACACCTGCCTGTCAGTTTCTGTGTTTGAAAGGCTTTTTGTCATTAACTTTTTAATGATGAATAGTCTTGTCATAAAATCCATACTTACTTTTTGCCACCTGCTCATTTCAAAGACACCATCCCTGTCATACCAATGGTTCTACACCCACTCAGTACCTCAGGCATGAGCCGTGAAAGAACGCCGCAGTCTTAGAACCCATGAGGGAGTCAGAATACTGATGGCTACCTTTTTGTATGAAGATTCTCTTTGTCCAAGCTCTTTTTCTTTTATGCAAGCGCTCTGTAGTTGCAAGCCTGCTATCTGTCGTTTGGTTAACAAAGAGTACTTCCTCAACAGGGTACCTCATCATATACAGGCTGGTGGAGACGCCATTATATCTGTATTTTAAAAGAAATACATTCTAGATGCCCTTACTGTGTCCTTGTTTAGGCCTTTAGATCTGTTTGTTGAGAGAAAGTTGCCGACTAAGGTTGACGATACTGTGGGGAAAAGTCACATTGCGATATTTGTGATTTTACTATATACTGCGATACTACGATATTTGAAATCAGAACATTTACCCTGTTAGTTATGAATCTACTAATGAAGCGTTGGGGCAGTTTTCTTTAGGGCTGCAACAAATGACTATTTTGCTCGATTATTGAAACGATTAATCGATTATTCAGATTATGAATTGCTCAATTACCAAATAACTGCTATGTAACTGTATATCAGCCTTTAAATTTGGCTTGAGGTTGTTTTATGCATTTGCTAACTAACAATGAAGACGAATATAATGATGAATACAAATTCACTGTTTTAATGAAATTTCCTGCTAATACAAAAAATAAAACAGCTTCTTTTTCCTGTCAAAATTTATACAATAAATAATGCAGTCATACAAAATAGCAGCAATAAAATATAACAAAACTAAATCAGTTTTTCTTTAATCACATCAACAAGTTCTCTGTGCATCACCAAGCACACGGCCATATCTACACATAAACATCACACAAACAATACGCATCACACAGACATGAGCACCAAACTGAAAACCGTTTTTCAGAGTTAAGCGTGAAATTCTCCCAGACTTTTTGTTCTCAAGGCTGCCATCGCGCTTTTGTTAACTTTCCAGTAAGCGGTAATGTCAAAACGTTCCTAGTGAGCACAAGAAACACGCGTGATCACCAAGTAATCAACGATTAATCGATGCGCCCCTTATGCACAGTATGGACAGAAAAACCATATTGCAGTTATATTGCTGCATATTGTAAGTGCTGTATACCTTCCAATATATGGAAAACACATTAATTAAGCATTGATATGACATGATTAATGATTAAGGACTGGCCATGATTAAACATTGACCAAAATTGTTTACATGGTGTATCATGTGAATGAAATCCAACAAAACAAATTGACTGGTCAGGATTCTCACAGCACCCAGTAAAACATTCAGTAAGAGGCTCATTTGTGTGTGTGATGTCAGTAATGTTGAGGGCTGATGTCACAATATTCCTGCCTCAGACGCTCCACTTAAGAAACACACGTACACATAAGAAAAGCAACACCAAAGACCGTAACACCAGAGACCGTAACACCAGAGACAGTAACACCAGAGACCGTAACACCAGAGACCGTAACACCAGAGACAGTAACACCAGAGACCATAACACCAGAGACCGTAACACCAGAGACAGTAACACCAGAGACCGTAACACCAGAGACCGTAACACCAGAGACCGTAACACCAGAGACAGTAACACCAGAGACAGTAACACCAGAGACCGTAACACCAGAGACAGTAACACCAAAGACCGTAACACCAGAGACCGTAACACCAGAGACAGTAACACCAGAGACCGTAACACCAGAGACAGTAACACCAGAGACAGTAACACCAGAGGCCGTAACACCAGAGACAGTAACACCAGAGACATTTTTAATGAAAAATGCATTTTACAGAATGGCTGCTACTGAGCATCAAACCACATGTTGTCAATCAGGGAATATCCACTAAAATATGGAATTTAATCCATTTGTGTTCTATTTTTTCGCAATTACCTCAGAATAAAGTCGGTCACACCAGTGACTTCAGCTAAAAGCTTCATATGAAATCATGAGCTAAATGAGAAAATCTCTGATAACTGAAAGACTCAGTGGACTCACCATGTGCTTTTCTTCATAGATCCTCAGAAAACAGGTAAAAGCAAGTCAAGTGATGTCATCAGTGTGACTTTTATTTCAAAATAAGAGATTTTCTGTTACGCGGTAACACCAGTGACACAACTCCTGGGGACAACAACTTTCATTATATATTTTATAATGTTTATTTGTTTTCTTTGTCATTTAATTCATATATTTCATAACCATGTACAGATTATTGCAGTTAAAATAGCAGAAAAACATGTTTTTACCTCAAAATATGGCATCACCCTTCTACTTCTGTGGTGCTTAGAATTTGATATGATTCATTTAATAAAAAAAGCCTAGAATGACTCTAATATAACAGTCCTAGTTAAATTTTCCTGTCTGATGGTGGGAAAATGCTGAAAGGGCAACAGAATCCAAGCCAAATTCACTTCACCAGTGGCCTCAAGTGGTTTTACTGCTCTAAAGCTGTTGGACTTGGCGATCTGGAGACTGCTGTGCTAAGCTAGAGGTCTTCCTCTCCGGGCTTTAGCCACAGTAGACGTCCTGTCCTTGATGAGGTGGCTTAACGGAAGGCATGATATATAGATGTGCTGTCATGTAATACGGCGCGACTCGTTTAAACGCAAGTTTGCTCAGTTGGTGCTCGGCTGAGGCTGCACAGCATAAACATAATGAATTTCACCTCCACTCTTCGGGACTAACGTGCTCCCTCCTCAGGTCATATAATTTAATGTTCTTTCAACCGTTAAACGGCGCTCGCGTGGGACGAGGATGCCTTGATCAGAGCGACATGTGACACGGGCCTAATTTAAAAGTCAGGATGGAGCCTCAGACAGAAGCAATTTCATCTCCACTTTACCTTTTGAAGCCCCCCGATGCCCCTTTTTACCGGCGGGGATTGTTTTGCGGCTCTTTTGATGTGCAAGGACATGATAGCTTTTTCCCCTCTTTCTGTGCGAAGGTGGACACATGGCACTTGCAACTGTTCATTTGTAGAGTGCCCGTCCAAGCCTGGTTGTTTTTGTCAGCGCGCTGACTGGCCCCGGCCAAGGTTGGAGCTCTCAAATTGAGGCCCGACCTCTTTCGGCCTTCTGTGTTCACACTGGACTGATTTAATTCGTGGGGTCCTCTCGAGAGCCCTAAAGACATTTCGCTCGCCGCCAGCCTTCTGATTTTAGAGATTTATCCGCAAGATTGATTCATGTGCTCTTGTTTTGGCAATGAGTGCAAACGATAGAAAAGGGCATCACAAAAAATGACATCTTTACAAGCGGAAACATCTTAAATTTAGTCAGTATGTCTAGTGTTTCTCGTTCTGAGACGTGTGAGACTGTCAGACCTGTTTCCATACACTTTTACTTGTTTTAAGTCATTTGAAGTTGGGAAGGTGTCTTATTCCATTGGCAGATCATTTAAACTTGTTTTGAGAAATAGTTCAGGTAACGTTGCTTACGTCAAGAAATGGAGTGAGACATTTTTATAAGAAGTTTTATAAGAAGTTTTTAAAATAATCTTGTAATGTTCTTGCAACAATCTCAAAATGAGAAATATTAGAGGTGTTGACTGCATTTGAGATATTTTCACTTGATATATCATTTTTTTGTAGTATTCTCAGGCACAATATTGACAAAATACCAATGCTAGTTGTTGCGATTGCGATATGCCCTGCAGTGTATTAAAATCATTTATGTGGCTTATTTATTTATTTATTTATTTATTTTTTTAATTAATTTATTTATAGCACTGCAGGTTCTATCTCGTCCCTTCCAGCTTATTAAATCTCAGAAAAATTAAATATCGTGATCCATATCGTGTGAAAACGTCTTGAAGTATCGTGATACATTGTTTTTGCCATATCGCCCACCCCTGATATAAAGTTCCTTTCTTGTATTATTCTTGATGTTCCTGCATCGATTTAATGTGACGTTTCAATCTCTACTGCTGGTCCTCGTCCTCGTTACTCTCCACCAGCCAGTCGCTAATTTAGATGTTCACTTGCGCTTGTGTCACTTTGAGTGGCGTTTTGGCTAATTAACCTGGTATGTGGTTAAGGTTCCTAATTGCTTAAAGCAGTGTAACGAATGAGAAGACGTCTGCGTTTTGGCAAAATATCGTCCTCAGTCTCATGTTGGACATGCTGCTCCAGCAGATATTTCTTTCTAATAAGAGCCGTTTAGAGGACTGAAGCGGTGTGCTTAATCCGCTAAGAGGCTGTAGCGTACGACCAGGGGCTATTTATGAAACCGTGTCTCTGCAGACAGCTCTGCTACCAGGAGATGGAGGTGGGAGGGTTTTTCTCGGTGCTCTGTGTTTTCTCTAACATGAACATATCCACTATCCACAGCTCTGCTTTGACCCCTCAGCCACACAAGTCACACAGCCTGTGGGTGGATTGCGATTTGTACATGCAAAACATGTTAGTTCAAAGGAACCATGTGCAACGATTGCTTCTGGCTATGGATAAAAAAGATGACTGGAAACTGTTCCAATGCAAATATACTATAATATTTTATCTATATATCTGTACCACTGTTTGTGTACTACAGTATTTCCAGTATATATATAAATACCGCTGTTTGTATACTATAATATTGCAGGTATATATCAGTACTGCTTCTCATATACTATAATATTTCAGGTATATATCAGTAGTGCTGCTTGTATACTATAATGTTTCAAGTATATATCAGTAGTGCTGCTTGTATACTATAATGTTTCAAGTATATATCAGTAGTGCTGCTTGTATACTATAATGTTTCAAGTATATATCAGTAGTGCTGCTTGTATACTATAATGTTTCAAGTATATATCAGTAGTGCTGCTTGTATACTATAATGTTTCAGGTATATATCAGTAGTGCTGCTTGTATACTATAATGTTTCAAGTATATATCAGTAGTGCTGCTTGTATACTATAATGTTTCAGGTATATATCAGTAGTGCTGCTTGTATACTATAATGTTTCAAGTATATATCAGTAGTGCTGCTTGTATACTATAATGTTTCAGGTATATATCAGTAGTGCTGCTTGTATACTATAATGTTTCAGGTATATATCAGTAGTGCTGCTTGTATACTATAATGTTTCAGGTATATATCTGTACCTCTGCTTGTATATTCTAATATTTTAGGTATATATCAGTACTGCTGCTTTTGTACTACAATATTTTACATATATATCAGTACCACTGCTTGTATACTATATTTCAGGTATATATCCGTACCGCAACTCATATACTATAATAGTTCAGATGTGTATCAGTAACTCTGCTTGTATATTATATTATTTCAGGTATATATCAGTACCATTGCTTTTATACTATAATATTATAGGTATATATCATTTAGACTGCTTGTATACTATAATATTTCAGGTATATATCATTTGTCCTGCTTTTGTACTATGATATTTCAGGTATATATCAGTAGCACTGTTTGTGTACTGTAATATTTCAGGTATATATCTGTACCAGTTCTTATATACTATAATATTTCAGGTAAATATCCGTGCTGTTACTCATATACTATATTATTTCAGGAATATATCAGTACCACACATACATACACACGGGGGGTGGGGGCGGGGGGGCACTCGCCCACCGAGCCCAGCTTGTGTGAGCACAGTGGGGCCCTGTTAAACATGCATAACAATACATTACGAGAATATAGTAAACAGAAACAGTGGATCGTTTCACATCACAGCACTTCTGAATGACTGTTTACATTTCAGTACTGAATTATGCAGTAATGTAGAAGAATCTGTGGAATTCCTCTTTAATTACATGTTTACTGGACACCGTGGTCTTGTTTGTGCAATCATACCAATAAAATAAAGCAGGTGTAATGTTTTTTTCCTGTTGAAAACCGCTGTGTCATCCTTTACTAGTTATGCTCAGTAATAGTCCACTGTAGTCGTGTGGTCATTTTGTAGTCGGTGCTATGTTCTTTTGCCCATATTAGGAGCTCTGGGTCTGAGCTTGATTTCTCTATGGCCAGAATGAATAGGGTTTTCGAAAAGTCGCCTCTATCGCCCCCCTGTGTTAAATAAACATGTTCAGAACCCGATACGTTTTGTCCTGTGAACATTCTCCTCTCGAATAACACTGGATCCTCCGAATTACGAGGTTGTTGAAATATGAATATTGCTACAGGCGAGCTAAAGCTACTGCGCACTGAATTCACGTCATTAGACTGGCAGCCTCCTTAATCAGGTTATCACCCCCTGATTAACTGATTTCGGCCCTCAGAATATCCTAATTATTTTAATTTGGTGACATTTTTCTGAGGACATTTTCTCAGGACATTCGCCAGCTTTTTGTTCGACTTTTCCCTTTCCACCTTAAATGCATCAGTCACGTTCTGAACTGCTGCACCATTTAAGGCGGAACGGGAAAATTCGAACAAGCAGCAGCGAAAAAGAAGCTGACTCGGCTTCATGGAGGGTTGAAAGGCCTGATATGAGGAGGTTTCTCTATTTCCGCTTAACAGCTGAGTATCATTTTTGCTGTTTCTCAGAACCGACAGGTCAGTGTTTTGTCTCATTTGCTAATGCTTGTGATAGCTAGTCACAGCTGCTGCACCATTTAAGGTGGAACGGGAACATTCAAACAGGAAGCTGTGAAAAATTAAGCTAAATTCAGCCTCGTAGTTTTAATACTGGTAGTATTTTTGATAAGGAGTTTTAGCCTATCAGAATATCCCACCTAGAGGTTTTATTTACGGGTATACCGGTAATTCTGCGCTACGGTAGAACATTTTGATAAGGTAGCACAGCTCCGGCACAGCCCGCCTTTGTTTCGCGTTGCTTAGTGACGTCAAATTGATGCGCAGTAGCTTTAGCTCGCATGTAGCAATATTAGCATTAAGGCTCTTTAACGACCTCGTAATTCAGAGGATCCAATGATATTTGAAAGAAGAATGTTCACAGGACAGAACGTATCGGGTTCTGAACATGTTTATTTAACACAGGGGGCGCTAGAGGCGACTTTTTTCTAAAACCCTATTCATTCCGGCCATAGAGAAATGGAGCTCAGACCCGGAACTCCTAATATGGGCATAACGAGGACTACAGAATGACGCACGACTACAGGGGTCTATAGGGCAGACCGTAATCTGTGTCAGTGTGTGTTGTACAGCCTGGTCACCGTAACCCTTCATTTGAGGGTCTCCTCCAGAGATGATTGAAGCACATTCTTAGTGCATTACCAGCACTTGCTCCTGCATTTACTGCATGCATGTTTTCATGCATACATTTCATTCCGACGGCCTCACCTAACGACTCTCGACGTTAAGCGTGATTTAAGTGGGATTGTGGATTTACAGCTTGAGTGTTTTGGTCATTACAAGTTTAGATGCTACAGTAGCCGATCAGTCACGGTGAATTACTGCTAATCGATGTCATCCATCACAGGGCCTTCGTACCACTGCAGCCTCCACCCAGTCAGAACTCCACCCAGTGGGAGAAGGTGAAGTACCTGTTCGAGGAGCTGGGCAGCAGCAGTAAGCGCCATTTATTACTCTTTACTGTGCCATTCTCGTTTGCCACATCATGCCATGCCGAAGTGTCTGTCCAGCTGACATATGCAAAAAAGGGCATCTTGTCATGCAAAATTGTCTTAAATATGGTCAATAAATCTAATGTTTCTCCTGGTGAGATTGTTGTAAACTTGATTTAAGATTATATACCTTATTTTTAGACATATTTTACTTGTTTTAAGGAATTTTATGTAGTAAAATTATCTTATTATATTGGCAGATAGTTTTGCTTGTTGTAAGAAATGAGCTTGAAACCAGCTCAATTATCTGCCAGTATAGTGAGATAATTATACTTAATAAAATGCCCTAAAACACGTAAATAATGTCTAGAAATAAGATAAATAATCTTAAAATAAGTGCATAACTTAAAATGGGAAATATTACAGATGTTGACTAGAATTATGGTCATTTCACTTGACAAGATACCATTTTTTGCAATGTGTTTAGTTTTTATTTAGATTTTTTATTTCAGTTCAGCTTAGTTAGTCTTAAAGGTACCTTAGTGGTTTTAGTTTAGTTTTTGTTTAGTCTCAGTTTTAGCTGTAGTGGTTTGTATTATGATGATAACAGGTGTCTAATTATTTTAGAATAAAAGAAACATAGCAGCAGACTGAGCTCAGCTCGGCTCCAGCTTTCCTCAAAGACAGACACGCAAACTCACTTCTAAACTCAGTTACACACTGAAAAAACTGAAGCGTAGTCTCGTTAAATCTGTTTATTTTTAGTTAGTTGTAGTGGGGATTATAGTTTTGAGTTAGTTTTCGTTTGTGGAAAAACACTTTTTTCTGCTAGTTTTTGTCTTAGTAATAGTTTTAGTGAACTATAATAACTCTGCTCCACTCATGTTCATGTTCAATTAGTCTTGAAGGTGCAGTAATGGTTTCAGTTTAGCTTTTTTTGAAAAAGGTCGGTTTCAGTTTAGTTTTTGTTTAGTCTCAGTTTTAGCTGAAGTGTTTTGTATTATGATGATAGCAGGTATCAGATAAGAGTAGAATAAAACTAACAGTAGACTGAGCTCAACTCGGCTCCACCTTTCCTTAAAGACCAGACGCACAAACTCACTTCTAAACTCTCAATTACACACTGTAAAAAAACTAAAACTAAAAGTTTTTACTCTGTAATTTCATTTTTTTTAGGTTTTTAGGACATTACAGTTTTTAGGTTTCATATTTGTGAAAGCTGCCACTTTTGTCACTGCTGGTTTTAATTTTTGTAATATTTTTAGTGAACTAGTTTTTGGTTTCAGTATAGCTTTAGTTAGTCTTAAAGGTGCAGTGATAGTTTTAGTTTAGAGCAAAATTAACATTAGACTGAGCTCGGCTCGACTTTAACTTTCCTCAAAGACCTTAAACACACTTCTAACTCATCCACGCACTGAAAGGACTAAAACTGAAAGTTTTTATTCAGTAATTCTGTTTAGTTTTGAGGTGGACGTTACAGTTTTTAGTTTTATTTTTGAAAATAGTTTTTATTACAGTTAATGACTTTTATTGTAGTAGTAGTTTTAATGAACTATAATTTAATAATAGTTTTTTTTTTGTTTTAATCTAGTTTAAGTTAGTCCTAAATGTGCAGTAATGGTTTTAGTTTAGTTTTTTTTAAAAAGGGACATTTTAGTTTTTGTTAAGTTTCAGTTTTAGTTGTAGTTTTAGTGTGATGATGATAGCAGGTCTCTGATGGGAGTGGAATAAAACTAACAGTAGTCTGAGCTCAGCTCGGCTCCAGCTTTCCTCAAAGACCAAACACACTTGTAGAGTTTTTTCCTTCTCAGTAATTCTGTTTAGTTTTTGCTTTAGTATTAGTGTTAAGGAGCCCTGCTCCACTCACAGCGACATCGGGCCTGACTGAAAACATGTGCCGTGAACACAGCGGACGCCGTCGAGCTGAGTGGCGAAGGTGACATGCCAGGTTGGCAGCAGCGACATTTAGCCTCGTCAGTGTCAGTGCAGCTCATTGTGCCGCCTAGATCGTCTGTCTGCGGAGGGAAAAGCTGTCACTGGTCAGTCCAGACCCCTCTGAGCTAAACGGCGCCTCAGACCCACCACGTTCGTCAACAAGTACACGATGGTCCTTTTTCAATAGATCCATAAACACTGTCACTACTGCATATCGCTAGTGTTACAGCATATTGACATTTTTCACTGCAAAACATGAGAAAAGTGAAACTATCTTACATCTAGTCATGACATCTAATATGTCTAATGTTTGGGGTTGTTGTAAGCTTAATGATGATAAGATGATTAAATGATTGAGATTGCTGTAAATATTATATTATTTATCCTATTTCTAGAAATTTTACTTAAGTAATTTTAATAAGAGAAAATCTCTTACTTCATTGGCAGAACGTCAAGGCATTAATTCTTGAACGAGGTAAAATGATCTACCAGTTGAATAAGAAAGCTGTGTTAGATAACGACTTAGAGAAATATGGGTGAATGATTATTAGATGTATTAGGCTGGATTAAAGATGTCTTCACATGCTTAGATATCATGTTTTGCAGGGTGCAGTGTATGTTTTTGGTAGTTTAATGCCCTGAGCAGCTCGAACTGTGGAATGAGGGAGGGCCAGATGATGTTTTGGTATTTCTGTGAAAATATGAACTCCATGTTGAATTTCACTCCAATATATACGCTCAGCACTGTCTGATAGTTCAGTCCACCAGCATTGGGAACAAAGAGAGTGTGTACTGAAGATACACAGTGGGTTATGGTCATGGATCAATATGACTACTGACAGGTGTGGAACTGGCATCGTTTATAATACAAGGTACTGTGCAAAAGTCTGAGACTGTCCTTCGTTTAATTTCCAGACTGAAATATTCATTTTTCAGAAGATATTTCAGATATCACATAATTCACCTGCATAAATTAGGAGAAAGTACAGAGAAAACTGGGGCTCCTAACAACCACCTGGAAGAACTTGCCCCCATCAGATAAACAGCACTCAAAGCTTTTATCTCTGAGAGAGAGGAGAAAATCAAGCTGCTTCAGATCTGAAAACATCCACAGGTGTTTCTGTCCATCCTTCCACTGTGAGAAGACGACTCAGCGCTGTGGGTCTGAAAGGATGTGTAGCTGATCAAGAAGAACCTCACTGAGAAAAGGAGACGGGCACATCAAACAAAGAAGCTGAACGATGGACTGACCACCCCAGAGTCCAGACCTCAACACCACTGAATGTGTTTGATTACTTCAGAAAATGCTAAATCAATCATGTCCATCTAATTTACATTATTGTGAGAAGAATGAGGTAAATGTATGAGGTGAGCAGAATGATTGGCTGAGAATATTTCTTCTATTTCTACTCCGATTCACCCAAACCTTTCATGCAGGGCAAAGAGGGCTGTGCCTGCGCGAGAACCGCATGTTTCTTTTGGAAATAACGTCGTTTTTTTGTGATGTGTAACAGCGATTGACATGTTGTTTCACTGCCTCAAGAAAATAGGACCTGTTCCCTTTCTTTTCCTTTATCTTCACTGTCGTAGAGATGGCACAGTGCCACTCTTTCTTTTCCACTACTGATACTGAACCCTGAAGTTGGGTCAAAATCAATCTTTACACTTAAGTGTTTATTGAGTTTTTTTACACAAGTAGACATAGATGTAAGATACATACAACAATGGAACGTCACAGACAGGACAACACCAAAAAGAGAGAAGGGGAACAGAAGGTCAAAATCAATGTCTATCGTTTATTTTTCTTGAAACACTACTAAACTTTAAAATCCGATATTATTAATTAAGCACTTTACGTAAAATGAGCATCTGACATACATGCAGACTCATTGCCTTCATGATGAACATAATAGATTTGATGAGATTTTAGTTTTGGGAATTGTGAGTGTTTACTGCCAGCACAGACTTCTGGGGGAGAATCTCTCACAGCCCGTTAGATGTAAGATAATATTTCCGAAATGTGAAAGGGAGCCGCGTTTTGTTGGTGGAAAAGTTGGTTTCATTTTCACATATTTGTATTTTTTTCCACAGTGCAATAAATGGTATCTTAGCAAGTGAAAACATCTTAAATGTAGTCAAAATATTTATTGTTTCTTATTATGAGACCATTGTAAGATTATTTTAAGATGATTTAACTTATTTCTAAACATTTTTTTACTTACTTTGACTTATGAAAGTGTCTGATTTCATTGGCAGATCATTTTGCATGTTTTAAGCATTAGTTCTTGAAATCCCCTAAACTTGTCAGCAAAATTATCTTCAATATTCCTCGAAAACAAGTAGAATAATGTGTCAATGGAATGAGACACTTTGGTAAGATAAAATGACTTAAAACTGTTTATAATAGTGTGAGTAAAAAAATGTTACCATAATTTTAAAACAGTCAAATAATGAGCAATATGAGAGATATTAACTGCATGTAAGATGTTTTCACTTTCTAAGATATTTTTTGTGCGTTAGTAGCTTTCAAACGGTGGACGACAAAAGATTAATGTGTAAATTAGCAGTCAAGACGGTCACCTTCCATTTAGCTGGCCTCGGAAACTGATGCAGAACGTCTTTATTTCTGAGAACTGTTGTAACTGCTGTGAGAGCTTAGTGCGTGTCTATGAAGTACATCACAAGTGTAGTGTAGCCAGTAGAACACAAATGATGGGCAGAGTAATTAAGAATGGCCCCGATTTATAATAGTTGTTGAGTCTCAAAGTAAGACGTTAAATTTTAACATATTTGTCACTCAACGTTGGTATTGTGAGCAACAAAATTCTAACAAAACATCAGAATACCTAAAAAGCAGTGCAGTGTTTGGATATGACTCGGATTTGCATATGTGTTGGTCTGAATGGACTAAAACATTACACAGGTTACAGTCACTAAAATGTTCTCGTAAGAATGATGCCACCGAAGGAACGATCCCCTGAACTTGTCACCTTTGAGTTTTCATGTTTGACCTGAAAATAAACGATCGTGCTCAAACTACTTTAGCACAGAATTCGATTTGTTTCAATA